GCTGGAGCAGCTCTGTAGTAGTATAGAAATCAGATCCCATTTGACCCGAGTCCTACTAGCCTTCAATGTCTTCACGATTCCAGGAGACCGCTCAAGCCTAAATATTATCGCACAATAAGATTCAGCCTAAACTATTGGGAAATTCAATTTAAGAACAAGTCGATGGTACAATCGTTAAGAAAATCCTATTCGAACTATATATTTTAGGGTTGCCTCAGTGGCGCTCCTCCAGCTACCCTAGGCTGTCGCAGTAATCAAAACGGTCAGCTACTGTGTATATGCGAGTAAGTAAGGAGGGAGATCGCCTTTCTCATTTTGCAAGGAGGTGGAAATTACTCGTTTCAGCACAGACCATTGCAATCGCGATCCACATGCTCTGATGAAAGAACCACCAACTCAACTGCAATGGCAGGTCTGTAAACGGCAAATTGTCAACGGAATAGATCCGCCACCACGATGGACACCTCCTTGTGCGGGGAACTATTGTGTCTACAGGAGGAGTAAGGTAAAGACTGTCATAGCAAAACTGCCAAAACTGCGAAAGTCGTCACTGCTTGACTCTTTCGCCTTTCTGCATTCGAGGAATACTTTTAATACTTTCTGGAGTGTACCGTAAGCCCCTCCTGAATTATTGAACCACAAACTGTAAATAACCAGAAAAAAATTAGATCTCAAGCTAATAGGAATCATTCTTGCAGTTCACACACGACAATGGTACCAAAGGCTATTCCTCCGTGAATGAATGCTCAAATAGCAACGATTTTGATATGTTCTCCAGTCGGGTGCCATTCCTCTTCTATCCAGAATCCTGCGTCAGAATGGAATATGGAGGGCAACAGGACGAGACGATGTGTTACGGTTCAACGGTTTGTTTGGTGTCCTTCTATAAGTGGTGCTGCTTGAGGCCTATAGCTCCTTTTTCAAATAAATCTTTTTTCTATAATTACATTTTAGACTTTTGTTATGATTCTTTTGATTTTTCAGCTTTTTATTATTGATGTAATTTTCCATTCTCACCTGCACTGAAGCATCTAGGGATCACGTCTGGTAGCTAGAGGACTACTAACCAAGTTAACCCCTGAGTGTCTAAAGGAGAGCTTGTTTTCAGGCTGACGACACTGCTGCTGAATACCCAACAGAGGGGCTGGTCGAATGCCATGCAGATTTTCTATCCAAAAATTTACCATATATCCCTATACGGAAGCTTTGTACAGGACAATTTTGTGTGATATCGGCATTGCCGCAAGGTGATGTGTACAGGTACGACTCGAGATGAGGTGACTATAAGTCCGATTTCCGACCGCACTAATTACTAGGGAATTTCCGGATGTTAAGGATTGAGAAACGGTTAGAACATCTCGTTCTCAATAATTCTCATAATACTTCAACCTGCACACTTGTAACAAAGAGCTGTGCTTTTCAAGGCTGTCCTATAAACGAAACTTGCGCTTTCCAGTTGGTCAAATTGGCCAGAGACCGGACCTATCGTCACACGTCTTTTCACGCCCTCCATAGGGTTTTGAAATTTCAAGTTATTTCAACCGTGTGATGATTTGATGTTTCAGAGGCTGCCTGACGATCGATCAGAGCAAGGCCGACCGACAGATGGCTGTAAGCAATTTACACGAGATCATATTCCTTTGTTCCTTTGTTTTTGTGTGTTGTTTACCTTATTTGTGCCCACTTCTTTTACATTTTCTGTTGTTTTATTGCATATTTATGGCGTACTTTGCAGCCTGGTTACTACCGTTCCTATAACGGTATAGAGCAATGGATATGCTCAGCACCGAGTTGTAATTATAATCTACGCAAGTTGGAAGAATCGTGGCCAGAAGAGCTGGCAGAATTCAAGTCAGTGACTTCACCAGTACATTTTGACAGAAACTTTGGGAAAATTCTCAAGATTCTCGAGAATTCTCGAGATTCTCAACCTTACTCACTGTTGTTAAAAACGGAAACCTTGCGACCCTAGTAGATTTCATGAGAACATTCTGGCGAAGTGTTCTTAGGAGCAGTCCGATACACCCACTGGCCACGAGATCGATTCCGGCTCTCGTCGAATGGGTCCCTTTCCCCTTTTCAACGGCACTCTTTATGGGAAACATATCTGTGAGGGTCAGCGGTTATGAATAATGGTTCTTCAACGCTTTTGCAAAAATCAAATGGTCAGCCATGAGCCCGAATCAATCCCAAATACAGTGCCTATCCCTCAAGCTATCGGTAACACACTTGGTTGTTCTCTTTCCCTTGATTGAACCCCACCATGACCAGTATTCGTTACGACAAATTCTAGCAGTCAAATAATAGAAGGCTAAACTCTTGAAGCGTTAGTCAGTCCTGTGTGAGGAATGCGCACCCGCATTCGACTTCAATTCGGGATCGTAGGGCGTACTAAATGATTGTGCGGCCCATATAATGATGTGCGGTGACCAGCCGATGGCAAGCCAGTGCTTTAATCCTCCCAGATGAGTCTGGCACCAACACTACGATCCCGGCGGATGGAGGGTTTGGC